ACTTTGTCGAGCGGAGCTTATCATATGAGTGATTGTCCGTCGTCGTCGTCGTCCGTGTCAATGTTTTACTTTTTCGACTTCTTCTTGAAAACTACAAGCCTGAATGCTTTGATACTTGGTGTACATGTACCTTGGGTAGACCTCTCTTAGGTTTGTTCATTTCAGGTTGATATCTTCAATTCTTTAATTTTGGTGAATATTTTTGTCATTTTTGGTAAAAAGTGATATTTTCGACTTCTTGTTAAAAACCGCAAGTGCAATTGCTTTGATATTACATATATAGGTACTACATGTGGACCTCTCAGATTTGTTCATTTTGTAATGATATCTTTAATTCTCTAATTTTGGTGAATATTTTTGTCATTTTTGGTAAAAAGTGATATTTTCGACTTCTTGTTAAAAACTGTAAGTCTGATTGCTTTGATACTATACATATTGTTCATTTTCTAATGATGTCTTCAGTTCTTTAATTGAAATGTGCATTGCTAACAGCGGAGCTATCTCAGCCGACAGGCTGCTTGTTATTTATTTAAATTACATTATTACGAAAATAAAAACAATTGATTACAGCTTACGGAAATACCCCTTGTCAACCCTCTAACTCTGTATTATTTCTTTTCAGGTTACACTGTCTCAGCCAACTATAACTTAGAAATCTTACGAATCTTACAAAAGCTTGGTTGCTCCGCCGTCGTTGCGAGCATCAATGAAATCAAAATTGCCATGATGGCGGGCTTTAACCCGAACATGATGGTGTATAATGGAAACGGTAAACAACTCAACGAATTGGAATTCGCCGTCAAGTGTGGTGTGATGATTAACGTCGACTCGCTCTTTGATCTTGAGCATATTCGTAAAGTTTGCCGAATGTTACATAAGAAAGCGAACGTTTTAATGAGGCTCCATCCTGAAATTGATTCAGTAAGTTCAAAGGTCATATCCTTTTTTTTATCCTTATTCATCTGTACAGTATGATTATGAACAAGCATAACTTAAAGCAGGTGAGCCATCACCTGCCCATGCAGCAAACGGCCATAATGCGTTGCTGTTTTTAAACAAGCGTCTACCCATGAGCTTTTGCGTTTTTAGCGTGCGGTGTTATCGTCACTTGGAACTGAATTCCTGGCATAAGCAGGTGACAACCCCACCGCTTTAAAGGTGCAACATGGTCTAGAAAATTTAATTTTTAGTATTTTTATTCAACACTGCATATGAATAAATACATTGGACTATGATTTATCATAAACTGTAACTGCGTTTTTTGCAGCACAAATCTCAGTACGAATGAAACAATGAAATTCTCTAATACCCCGTTTATAATAAAAAAGAGATAACTCCTACTTTGAACTGAATAGTATACTGTGAAATACTTTATTTTAACTGGAATTAATTTTCGCTGAAAAGACTTTTTAGTGTTTAGTATTGAGTTTAATTTCACTGATTTTTGATGAGTTGAATGTAAAACATAGGAAAAAAGTTATATTCGCTGGATTTTATTTTCAATGAATCACCCCTTCAGTGAAAAAAAGCGAAAATAAATTACAAGCGAAAATTAAGTATTTTACAGTATAAGACTGGTAGCAACTGTAACTGTTTGAGTAACAGCATGCTTTCTTTGATCTAGGATAGCAGCCAAGATATTACTGAAACTAAATTTGGACTCCATCATAAAGAGTTTGATAAGGCGTTGCAAATCGTAAAAGAAGAAGAA